CCCCCACAGGGGATCAGCTCCTCCCCGTCCCCACCGCACCCCGACAGGGGATCAGCTCCTCCCCGTCCCCACCGCACCGCCACAGGGGATCAGCTCCCCCCATCCCCACCGCACCCCCACAGGGGATCAGCTCCCCCACATCCCCACCGCACTCCCACAGGGGATCAGCTCCCCCATCCCCCACCGCACCCCCACAGAGGAAGCCTGCGTTCCCTGTGCAGAAAAGAGGGTCCCACATTGCCTGTGTGGCCGGTCACGGATACCAGAAAAATCCAGCAGTATGGGAGGAGGAAGGGAGTCAAGTCAGGTGTGTGCGTGTTGGTCATTGTGCAAACGTTCTGGAAGGTCGGGTTAAAATAAAATCAACCAGCTTTGGGGAGAAGGGCGGTGGGGATGTGGCCGAATGCAGGCCTGGGGCATGGGGTACAGAGAAGGGACCTTCAGGTCAGTCTCTTAGAATTAGTTCATCTCTGTCCAAGTACATGGTCTTACCTCCTCAGGGAGCAGCACCTCGTGTTGGGGGGAGGGTGCTGGGCCCGCAGCCTGGACCCCCACCCCAGACAGTGCCTGTTGCACCCCCAGCCCGCCCAGAAGACCCCCACTCACCGGATCTCATGTGTGGGCTCCGGGTGCACCTCGATGCTCTCCCCGAAGAACACAGGCAGCATCCGGGGCCTCATCTCGAGCGCTGGGGAATTTGGGGGGAGGGCCGGGGTCTGCGGGGAGAGCCACGGACATGGGGTTACACAGCCCTTTGGGACCGTGGCCTCAGCTCCCCACTGCGCACAAGGGGCCACCCTGCACCCTTCCAGCCCTGGGTCAGTCCGGAAGCCTGCCCTGTGGAGTCCATCGAGAAGCCCACCCTGGCTTGGCCCATGGCGCCCCACGCCCCAGCCTGCCCTCCCAGCTCCCAGACCCCGAAATGTGGGGATGTGGGAACAGCCTTTTCTGCACCCCCCAGCTCGCCCTGGGAGCCGGGCCCAGAGCCTGGCAGCACAGGGACCCCTCTCAGGGAGGGCTCAGGGCCCCAGGCCACCCCATGGTGACGCCGTAGCTGGGAGCTCGCCAGAGGCCGAAACCGAGTCATCCTCACTCCTGACCCTGCTCAGCGCAGCCCAGGGCTGAGGGCAGCCCCCCGGGGCTGTGACACATCTGCTGAGAGGGACACGCAGGTGGGGACACCCTCAGGAAGTGGCCAAAACCTGACCCATAGAGGACCAGGAGTCCCTCCCCCTGCGGCCCTCTAAGGTCCCTCACGGTAGTCCCTCCAGGGCCTGGCCACGGCCTCATGCCACAATTCACCCCGTTCCTTAGGTCAGGAGCGTCCAACCCTGGCTGCAAGCGTGGCCTGGAGCTGGGCCTTCGCGCGTCTGCACACCAGCCCTCTCCCTGTCCTACCCCCAGTGTGGCCAGCGAGGCCATTCACACCAACCCGCTGCCAGCGAGCTGCAGCCCTGGGCCGTCCACCTGAGGTGGCAGCCACACTGCCCAGCCGCCCGGGGGGGAGGGGCATGCACAGGTGCCTGTGACACATGTCACCTCTGGGCCCAGGATGTCACGCCAGCGAAACGTCTGCTGCCAACCGTTCCTTCCAGTGTTATGGTCAACCCATGATGAACGTGGAGGGACAGCCAGGCAGAAGCCTCTGCCATCTGGATACCACTGCCATTTGGGGATGTTTGTTACACAGCATTACGTGCTGTAAGTAGCCTGTGCTGGTATAGCCGTCATCCCACAGTAAGCATCTGCTCTAACCACGGGCCCGCACCAAGCCCTCAGTGAGCTGCCACCGTGCTCAGAGGAGGCCGTGCCCTTGCTCCTGAGGAGTTTGCTGCCTGGGGCCTTCACTAGTGTTCAAAGGATCCCTCAGGCAGGCTAAACTTCTAACTGTGGTGAGGGCTGTGATCGCAGGGGCTCTGAGGGCCTTGAGAAGAGGGGGTGTCGACCATCAGGTAACCCAGGAGGGCTTCCCCACAGAGGTGACACCTGAGATGTGATCTAAAGGACAAAGTGGAGTTGACTCTGGCCCCACAGGTCACAGGTCCTGGAACCCCACTCAGGCAGGCACATGAGGGGTCACCCAGCCCCAGGCAGCACCTGACATGAACACACCCCCTCCCCCACCCCACCTGCTGGGACCCACCAGGGAGACAGATGGAGGGAGCCAAGTTCCCCAGATCCCCATCCATCAACCCCGTCCCTGGAAACTGTTGTGTCCACATCCCACCCGCACCCTTAACGGGCTCACCCTTCAGAACTGACTCACCTTCCTTTGCGCTCCAATGCCTACCTCAGCCCCACCCTAGGCAGGTCTGTCCCAGAAGCCTGGGGTCACGTGTAAATCACGCGCCCGCATCTTACCACCTAGAGGAACTTTTTCAGTGCCCCTCCTAAACCACTCACACTCTGGGGACACTGTCTTGGGCCGCCTGTCTGTCCCGTGGCCGCTAGCTGCATGGGGTGACTGCAGCTTAACCTGATGAAAAATAAGCAAATGACAAATCCCGTTCCTCCATCACCCTGGCTGCACAAGTGGTCGCAGGCACATGCAGTGGTGGCCACAGTACCAGTCAGTTGCAGATCTAGAACATTCTCTTGGAGGGTCCTCGTACACAGGAGTGAAGGCCAGCCACCCCCCCCCCAACATGGGACAAGATGAGGAATCATACACTCAGACCAAGTCCTGCCTGTTTACCGACTTGAGATTCCTGTTCCTGTCCCCTCCCCATCCGGGTCCTCATGGTCCTCACCTGGATGACGATGTCACAGCGGCTGATGCTTTCTGAGCTCTGACTGCACCAGACACTGCTCTGGACACTCCACGCATTCGCTCATTAGCACCCCCATTATACAGATGCTAAAACAGAGGCCCGGAGTGACTAAGTAACTTGCTTGAGGCCACAGAGCTAGGAAGAGGCACAACCAGGGTCGGAACCCTGGGGTCTGGCTCCCGACTCCACGATCTCACTCCTACTCCTGGGCTAGCTACCTCTCACACCCGTGGGACTGGCACCGCGGCCCCAGGACCTGCCCTGTCACAACACTCAGAGCAGGCTGGCCCTCGCACCCAGGATCCGGGCACTTCCTGCCGGCCTGTGCTCTCTATCCCTCAGCCCCGCCCACGCACCCGTCAGCCCCGCCCACGCACCCGTCAGCCCCGCCCACATGCCCTCAGCCCCGCCCACATGCCCTCAGCCCCGCCCACATGCCCTCAGCCCCGCGCACATGTATCCCTCAGCCCCGCCGCCGCGTTCCTAAGACCCGTCCACATATCCCTCAGCCCCTTGGACAGGCTCCAAGAGGCCTCTGTGCCTCGGTTCAGGCTGCGTCCTGCACTGGGAATGTCTTTCTGGTTCCTTCTCGCTTGATCCGATGTGGCTCAACCTCGGCACCACCTCTGCCTCCCCACACCCTCCCCGGGGCCCCTGGGGCTCCCATCTGCTGCCTCCATTGCCATGACCCCTTTGCGTGTCTGTCACCCCAGCCCGGGCGCTCTGTAAGGTTCGGGACCTGAGGGGCCATGTAACCCAGGGCTGGGAACCTCACAGCACCTGCAGCGTTGAGAGGTGAGAACTCAAAGTGCACAGAAGCCCCCACTGACTTGTCAGCCCCATGGCCAGGTCCAAGCTGGTGTGGTATCAGCCTGTGGACAGGGTACCCCAGCGCGTCGCAGTGTCCCCAGAATGAGAGCCAAGGACCAGAGGAAGAAAAGCTAGGAGGCTTGGACAAGGAGGGGGCCCCCCAAAGCCCCCAGGAGCTGTTCTCGAGGTGGCCCCACATCTCGCTGGCATTTACAGTGACTGGGCCACAAAGGGCCAACGTCTGCCCCTTCCTGGGCGTAGGGAGGTAAAATGATGCCCCAGAGATGTGCACACCCTAATCCCAGGAACCGTGATGTGCCAAGGTTAGGGGTCCTGAGATGGGGAGGGGCCCCTGGGCTACTCGGTGGCCCCGTGTGATGGCGGGGGGGGGGTCCTCATCCGAGGGAGGCAGGGGGTCGGGGTCAGATGGAAAATGCCACACTATTGCCTTAGGACTCAGGGGAGGGGCCGCAAGCCAAGGGATTCAGGCAGCCTCTAGAAGGTGAAAAACACAAGCAACGATTCTCCCCTAGACCTTTCCAGAAAGGAACACAGCCTTGCCCCAATCCTTGAGTTTAGCCTGCAAGACCCGCTTTAGACTTCTGACTTTTGGAACTGGAAAGCAATAAATTTCTGTTGCTTTAAGCCCCCATGTGGCCGTCTGGCACGGCAGCAACGGGAAGCTGATATACCCTGTGACTCGGGGCAGACAACCCCCTCCGGCCAGCAGCATCCTGGTCCCTGAAGAGGCCAACAGGCCGCAGTGAGGCCTGAGCGAGTCAAAGCTCAGAAGCGTGTGGGGCAGTGCCTGGCACAGAGTAAGTGCTGTCTAAAAGCTGGTTGTGTTAGGAGTCCTGCCTGGAGGGAGGCACAGTCCACACCCTTGTGAGCCTTGAGACAGCGTTGCTTCTACCTTCCAGACTGAATTTAAAGGGGTAGGGGGCAGTGACAAAATTTAGGCACCTCTGTCACGACCCCAGCTATAAAACCCCATGACTTGATGTTTTTAAAAATCATGCTCTCTCCCCAAAGGCATTACCTACAGAGTAGCATTTTCCCAAACCAGTACAAGTGTTTGCTGAGCACCTACTGTTTGCTGAGCACCTCCAGTGGGCTGAACACCTACTGTGTACCAGACCCCGTGTGGGTGGGACAAGACACAGCGACTCTCAGGGCACCTCTTGTTCAAGAGGGGATGACACGTGGCCATGGAAGGAAACAGAAGGTGATGCAAGCACGTGAGGAGGTGTGAACGTGGGTGCTAAGGTTTCTGGAGGTGTTTCTTGTGTCCAGACCGGCAGAAGGACTGGAAAGAGGGAGGGGAAGTCTGCTGCCCATTTTAACCACCCCACACTGCCCTCCCCACCCCTCCCAGAAGGACCGAGTAACTCCGAAACTAAGGTTCAGAGAAGGTAGCTCAGAGAGGCAAGACCTTCAATGCTGCTGCAGAGCTAAGCAGTTCTATCCCCCTGGGGTCGGCCCCGGACAGCGAAACTGCCAGACCTTCTGGTACCTTCCCGAGTGCCCCACAAGAGCAGTGCCCTCCGGGCCAGATCTCGCTCCCTGACGGGCTGTCAGGAGAGGAGACAAGGCTCACTGCACAGGCTAGGCGGGGAGGCCGGAGCTCTGGGCATGGTTTTCCAAAGGGCCCCTGTGGAAAAACATCCAAAATCTGCCCACACTGGACATGCTGCACAAGCGATAGGCAAAGCCAGGGAGAACCCAGACACGGGCTGGCATCCAGCCGGCCTGGGTGGCGAGATGGCTCCAGAAGTCACCGCCAAGGCCCCAGGACAGTCCCGCGGGGCTCCAGGGACCGACACAAAGGGAACACGGTGGCAGCCACTGGCCTGTCCGGAAGCTCAAAGCGGAGCCTTTCTGGTTGTGGCGCTGCCCCACGGAACACTGCCAACCCGCAGGGTGGGAAGGAAAGCATCTCCCATGGCCAAGAAAGCACACATCTGGCCCTAGAAGGAGGGCTCCTCAAAGATCCGGTGGCCTTCTGCTGGGAGTCACCAGGAGTGGGGGAGGGAGAGATGCTGGGGGGGCAGGGCTTGCGCACCCAGGTGATGGACCACCTGCTCGGCCAGCCACGGCCTCCTAGCGCAGAGAAAGCGTCCAGGCAGTCCACCGCC